ATCCCAAATATAGTAGTTGTGGTAGTGGGGTAGTTGTAAAGATAATGTATAAGATTTTCATATGTTCCCTTTCAATGTCCTCTATTGTTAATTTTTTTTCCTTTTTGAATCAGCTCTCATTAAGCAGTTGAACCTGGCCTTGAACGCACTATATACCTCAGGCTGGCCTCAAACTCATGGTGATCCTCTTACCTCAGCCTCACAAGTATTGCTAATATCTTATATTCACCATAGCTAATGAGCCAATGTTGATACTTCATTAATTAACTTAAGTTTCTTTGAAGTTCTTTAGCTTTTTCTATCCTGGGATTCCATCCAGGACACTACATTACATTTAGTCATATCTCCTTACCTGTTGTTTTTCATGGCTTTGACAGTTTTGAGGTTGGTCAGGTATTTACTAGATTATTAGTTTGGGTTTGTCTGGTGTTTTTCCCATGATTGTGCTGGGGTCCCAAAGTCTCAGGCAGAGGATCACAGAGGCAGAGTGCTGTTCTCATCAAGCCATGCTAAGGGCAGGTGCTGTCACTGTGGCTCATCACTGTTCACATCTAGCTTAATCACATGGCTGAGGCAGTGGTAGTGTCTCTAGGGCAAAGTTACTGAAACGCTGTATGTGTCCATCCCAGAGGTAGGAGGGGTTTGGCCCCTAGAAGACTGCATAGTGGTGATCATGGTCAACAGTGAAAAAACCCACAAAGAAAGTGAATCACAGAGGGAAGCATTTGAACTCTGGATTCGGCAATTCCAATTCAGTGTCTAAGCCTTTGGGCTCTATTTTATTGGCTGTGGTAGAGACTGGCTCAGGTTCATGTCGGAGTCCCCAAGACCTCAGTACAAGGTGTTTACTAAGTGCGTAATTGGATTTTTTTCTTTTGCAAATACATTTTTATCGAGATGAAATGCACTAACATAAAATTAACCACTTTATAGTACATAATTCAGTGGCATTTATACATATATGGTATACATATATGGCAACCACCACTCATATCTAGTTCCAAAACATTTTCATCACCACAAAAGAAAACCCTGTACCTATTAACAGTCACTCCCGCAGCTTCTGGTAACCACCAATCTGCTTTCTGTCTCCATGGATTTATTTACTCTGGATATTTCATTTAAATGAAATCATATTACATGTAGCCTTTTGTTTCTGGTTTCTTTCACTTAGCATAATGCTTCTGAGGTCCCTCCACATCATAGTGTATATCACAACTTTATTTCTCTTTATGGCTAATATTTCATTTTATGCACACCACATATTTTATTTATCCATTCAGCCATTAATGAACACTTGGGTGACATCCACCTTTTGGCTATTGTCAATAATGCTACTATGAGCATTCCTGTAACAGGAACATTCCTGTAAAAGTATTTGTTTGAGTATCTGGTTTCAGCTCTGTAGGTGTCAATGAATGCATGATGGGATTTTTTTTATTTTAAAGAGAATAAAAGCAAAGCAAACCAAACAGAATAAAGCTAATCAGAATGGCTCAATGAAAACAATACAGGACTTCAAGATAATACAGGGCAAGATAACAGAAAATCTGCAATTAGCTACCATAATGTCTCTGTTTTCTTCAAAATAGCAGTCCATACCATCAGACATAATAAAATCAAACAGAATAAAACCAATCAAAATGAATACTGAGTAAAACAAATCAATAAAATGGAACAAAACAAAACAGTGAGAACAATATTGGATTTCAAAAACAAGACAGAAAGTAATCCCCCATATTTGCTGTATTGCATATTATTATCATCTTAATAGATGCTCAGACTACCTGTGTTAGGCCTGCAAAGTGAATTAAACAATATAAGCATTAAATTGTTTTTGTATCTCAGTTGCCATCAACTCAACCTATCCTCTAAATCAGCCAATTGCTTGGGTGGGGAGTATGTTCTTTTCTCCCAGTCCATGCAGCAGTCGGTTCAGAAAGGTAATCCTTTTTGAGTTTGGTAAATTGGCTTCTTGTTCCTCCTCCCAGGCCCAGCATGGCTTCTTCCAACTCACAGGAAGGGCAGATTGGCTTTTCTTCTCCTTGGTCCTGGCTCATGGGAAAGGTGAATTAGTTCCTCGTTGCTCCTCCCAGGCCCAGCATGGCCACATGACTGGATTTTAAAAGGTGATATTTCTTCACAGATTTTTAGCAAGCTATTCAAACTCGAGCTCTGATTATGGACCAAGGCTTGTGAAGAGGTAGTTCTGTCTTGAGCCAAGTTTGTGGTAACGTCTTATCAATAAATTAAAGACATGATGTTCGTATATCAAGTCCACCCATGAAAAAAAGCCAGAAAAGCAATCTAAACATCACAATGCAAATCTACAAAGTGGGCAAAGTATCAATTTTTACATGTGGTTTCTTTAAAAGATTCGCCAAGCAGAGGACATGAAATAATTGGTTTATTAACAATAATGTAATAAAGAAGTAACTCAGAGTTCAAGTTGGGCGCAAGCTCTACCTAAGTCAATGTGATGGCTGCCAAATAAGAAAATGTAAATGTAGGTTGCATTAATAGAGGAAAAGAAACCAGAACAGGGAAGGCAACTGTCCTACCCTGCTCTACATCACCAGACCCACCAGGAGCTCAGGAGCTTCCCTGACTTGCTGGGGTATCCCCTGAGTAAAGAGAGTGGGACAAGACTACAAAGGCCCGGAAACAAGGTCATATAGAAGAGGAGCCAAGTGGAAGCAGGCTGCCTTGGACAGGGTCTTTACTGCCCAGGACATACAGGGCTGGCCATGAGAGGAAGGCTTTTATCCTAGCTAACAGTGAGCACCCTTCTCTTTTGGATTGGGAATGGAATAAGCAAGGGAAAGACTCAGAAGTACATCAGCTGGGCCCAAATGACTCTGAGAGGTGGATGAGTGCCCTACTACTGAGAAACATTTAGCAGGAGGCAGAGGAGACGGAGGCAGAGAGAATGGATGCGCAGGTCTTGATCTTGCCTCCTCTTCTTCTCACGTCTCTTCAAGCTCTTTTCCTTCTCTTCCTCTTCCCTTCTTCCTCCTCTGGCTGTTAGCAGCACCATTCTATCCTCAGAAGAGGTAGCTAAATATTCACGATAGTTAAGGATTTGTGTTAAATGATGGGCTGAGACTAATGGAATTAGAATTTAATTGGCTGGCTTGAAAAAACTCAGGAAAATTTTGTGTTACTATAGTGAATGAAAAAAAAGCAAGATACAAAATTACAACTAAGCACACATACACAACCCCTCAAACTCTAAACATCCATTATCTGTGTAAATCCTGGTGGGCAGGAGGGAGTATTCTCTGTTTTATATTTTTCAGTGTTTTTCAAATGCTTTACAGTGAAGGGACATTATTTCAAGAATCAGACAAGAACAAAATGCTGTTTAATTCTTGAAACTGGATTGAACTGGCAGAACCACAACTGCCACAAAAGTGGGGCTGAAGTTCCTGCCTGGCCACTTCCTGCCCATCCCTGGGCTTGCTATTTGATTCCCCTCACTGTTTGATTCCCTCTACCCTGTATTTGCCCTCAACAGATCTCCCCACCACATCCTATTTCCAGAAGCCACTTGAAAAATTTCAGTAAACACTTTTAATTTCTAGTTTGAAGAGCCATACAAATAAGTGATTCTGAGGCCTAGAGTAGTATCTTTCTATGGTCTGTTGGCCATGTCAGAACTTTAGAAATGTCATGGTCAATTCATTAGAAGGAAACAACTTGCCCCCCAGTGAGCCCTCCACCTTGGGCTGGAAGAGAAAAGGCCACATCCCTTGATGAGCCAGCAGCTAGTGGTCTGAGGAAGGCACAGTCCTGGGGTTCCCCTGCCATTGATAAGCAGCCCCTACACCTCACTGTCACCTCAAGAAACTTGGATGGGAAGAACGCAGGTGCCTTGCCCAATTACCTACACTGCAGGATGGGCAGTCAATGCAGGAAATTCCCAGGACTCAGCAACCAACTGATTTAGAGGAACACAGAAATGTCAAGACAAAGGAGCAGGGTGCAATCTCAGACCTCAAGCCCACGAGACATAGACACAAAAGAAATTAGAAGTTACATACCTAAAATTTCTGAAAATAGAAACTGAAGAAATAGCTCAGTGCTCATATTGTTTAATTAATTCTGCATGCCTATATCTCACCCAGAACAAGTCCAGAAACAGACATAGAGGAAATTAGAAGCCACAAAACCTGACAGAACCTGACAGTTCTGAGATGATGGCAACTGAAGAAGCAACTTAGCACATGTGCTGTTTGACTTTGCATGCCTGTATCTGATGGTCTGAGCATCTATTTAGAGGATAACACTGTGCATTACCTTAACTAAGGTTGATTTCCTAATGTCTTGTTTTTGAAATCCAATATTATTCCTGTTGTTTTGTTTTATTTCATTTTATTGTTTTGTTTGCTTTATTCTCTTTAAAAATTTTTTAAAAGGTGATTCTGGAGAAGGAAGGAGAGCCAGGGCTGGCTGCCAGGTAGAAAAGATCCTAAGGGTGGGGAGTTCAAGTGCAGCCAACTTGATCTGGTAGGGTGGAGCAGGCCTGTCCACTTCTCAGGAGATGGCAGGCTGCTATTGTCAGCCCTGGCCCGTAGCACTCCAGCTTCAGTAGAGAGAGTGGGCTGCCTGGAGAGGGCCCTAAGGAGCCAGGGGTGGCCCATTCACCTCATACTATCTCCAAAAGCAGCAAAGCAAGAACCCAGTTTCACTGAGCACTGCATAAGTGCTGCACTGAGCCCCCTTCCACACAGCCCTTTGATCTGTGCACTCACTGGCCAGGTCAGCAATGTAATCCCATTCTACCTACAAATAAATGGAGGCTCAGAAAGATTAAAGACCAGGTCACACTGCTTCTGTATAAGAGACGTGCTTTCTATATAAGAGAAATGCTTTCAACCACTTAGACATAGTATCTCAAAATAGTCAATGACACTTCAGCTTCCTGCTTGGAGAAAGTGGACTGCCTCTGCCCTTCTTGGCCTTGATGTGGCCCCAATGACAGTTTGGTTATTGGTAGTGATAACATTAACTCTGGCTTTGGAGAAGGGACATCCTGTTTACTTTCTCACCTCTCGGGGATGGCAGGGTGCCAGAGTGGTGGTTGCAAAGTCTCTGCCCTTGTCCCTGCCCTGGCTCTTGTGGACTGTTCTGAGTCCTGAGAAGAAGGTGGGGGCTCTGTGTCTTTCTGGATAGAGAAGAGACCTTCAGGGAAGTCACACAAGGTAAGTCTCTGGTCCAGCTGAGTTCCTTTTATGGAGGGCATTGTGAGCAAGGCCTGGGTAGGACAAATGGGACTCCTCAAAGGGGTAGGTAGACATCGTGATGAAAGGAACTTTCTATCCCTCAGATTCAAAAATTGTACAAGGCCCAGGCTTTCATATATTGATGGTGGGAGGGGCAACGGTGGGCAGGAGCTGGTATCTTTACCACCCTGGGCCAGATGCTTTCAGATCCACTGCACACCTATTCAGGGATGTGACTTTGGGTGTCCTGCCACATGCCACGAATAGCACAGGTAGGCTGAGAACATACCTCAGTGGTAAAGCATTTGCCCAGCATACATGAGGCCCTTGGTTTAACTCCCAGCACTAAGGGAAAAAAGAAAAGAATAGTACAAGTGTCTGAGTGGCTCCTGGTGGGCCTCCTCCTGGAGTTGGGGAGATGAACTCCTGGGGGTGTGGATCCAGCTTTCTCTGAACTCCAGAACAGGTTATTTAGGCTGAGCATTGGGGACTCACAGTGCAATGACCAATTCCTACCCTTAGGTGGAACTAGACAGACTAGAGGACAGAAAGGGGAGAGAGAAAGAAGGATAGATAGTATGAGGGGGTTGGGGGGATGTTGGTGTTGAGACAGAGAGGCACAAGGAAAATGCTGGAATCAAAGGAAGGAACACCAGGGGACGCATACCTAGGGTTTTTACAAGACTGGCTCTTCTGTCTCTACCGGCTCTAACACCCTGCGGAATAGCCAGGATTATGCTGGGTCACTCACTGCCCAGGCCCAAATACATGACTGGTCACTTGGGCACTGGGAGAGTCATGCCTGCTTCATGTGGCCTGTTGGGTAACAGGGAAGAGGCTGACAGTTTGTGGGTATTGAGTAACCACTGAACTTCCTGATACTTTAAGTTTCTTTCTGGACCAGTCTTAACCTTCCTCTTTCAAGGCCAGGCTGAGCACTCCGTAGTGTCCACAGCCGGATGACAATTATTCCCTCAGCAGTGGTTTGCTCCCATCTCCCGTGCCCCTGTCCTGCCCTGGCCTTGGGAGACCCAGTCAGACCAGGGGGTTCTGCCTACCCAGGTTTCTTAGCTTGGACAATGGCACTTCTCTCTATTTCTCATGTCCCCCTCCCCCACATCCCTATACACCAGCTCCTGTTTTGTATTACCCTGGACTTCTTCAGTTGCACTGTTTATCATCAAGGCTTCAATCGTCCATCTCCCCCATCCTCAAACTCAGTAAAGGCAGAGCCTATCATGTTCTCTGCTGTATTCTTGGCAGCTGGCACAGTGCCTGGCACTTAGCTGCTCATTAAACATTGTCAAGCAGATTAATAAGCCCATTCAACTGTATTTCCTCAACATTCCCGGATTTATGCCTTCCTCCTGAACCCAGCCACAGCCTTTGCTCAGATCTCATATTCCATCTGGACTATTGAGCAGTCTCCAGGCTGGGCAGGCTGCCTCATCATCTCCATTCGATTATTTTCCTCCCTAAAACCAGAGTGGTCATTCTAAGGAGGCCCATTTGCCCTATTTAGAAGCCTTCTCTGACTCCCCACTCCTCACGATAAGGTCACTTTTCTGGGATTCAGGAAGGAAGCACAGATATGCCTTACCAGCTCAATCTGGATACCCTGAGAACACACTCAGGATGACACGCAGAAGTATAAAAACTTGAAGGGATGTTACATAAACTAGAGATAAGCGCCCAGGGCAAGGTACAGAGGAGAAATTGTAGGTGGGGACAAATTGAGAAACACATTCTTGGATAACGCGACAGCTGCTCCTCCCTCTTAAAAAGAACAACATGTATCATACTATGTCATTACCTGGTCATGTGCTATTGTTACTGGATTCTGGGGTGCTAGTCTCCACTTGAGGTAATTTCTAGGTCCTTTTCTGTCCCAAACAAAGAATTGAATCAAACAAGCAAAAACGGTGGCAGTTTCACATTTCTTAGAGGTACGAAAACTAAAAAGAAGGGTAAGGAAATACAATGAAGTCTGCAGAGTCAGTTTAAACTGGGTGAAAAACAAGGAAGAAATAAAAATAAAAATACTGACAAATGCCCATGGGGGGCTGTGGCTGCGTGAGGAAGGCATCATAACAAGTTCTTAGTGGGCTCTGTCTCCTCATTCACTTCCGTATCTTCCCACATTTACATCACAGTTGGTCACCCCATCAGAAGCCTGCTCAGCTTCTCACAAGGAGTCCACATGCACCGTCCTGCCCGGGTGTTCTGGGGTCTCGCCATGCCTCCCCACCCCTCCACTCCCAGCCAGTGTAAGCCAGGCCCAGCTTCCCATCTCACTATCCTGCATCCTCTTTGCTACAAGCTCCGTAAAGACAAAGACCATATTTAACTTATCTTGGTATCTCTGGCACTTAGCATGGGACTTGTCACATAGTAAACAATAAACATTTGTTGAACGAATGAATCAGTGAATTAATGAATAACGAACAAATGGTTCAATAGTAGATGAGGCAGACTAATCCCTACTGCCTACCTCTGTCTCAGGGAGCCAGCAGCAGTGCTGACCAGAAGGGCTGTTAGCCAGATCCTAACAACATAAATATGACGTTCCAACCTAGAGTAGAAATGGCCTGGATTCCAAGGCCAAGTAGGTAGAGTTCTGGCTTTATCCATTACTAGCTGTGTGAATTTGGGCAAGTTATGCAAGCTCTCTGTACCTTACTTTATCATCTGTAGAATGTGGATAGGAATAGTACCTGTCTTACAGAGTAATTATCAAAATTAAATTTACATGCCTTTAGATTGAATATATGCACATTTGGTACACAGATATACACACCTGCATATGTAAATAAATTTACAGCTTGTGCGGTTTAAGTGCCAGTTTAATTGTCATCACTGATGTTCATGAAGACAGTTCTCCCAATCCACTCCTTCTCACCAGCTTCTCTTTTTCTTTTCTCATCACTCTCTACCTAATGGCGGAACTGAGACTTCACTGGTGTTAAGCAATAAACATAAGTTGAGAGGATCAGGATGTGGTTGCTTAGCCTGTCTTTATTTCTCGTTGATCAAACAGGGTGAATAAAAACAATCAAAAGAGGACCTGGAAAAAGATTGCACAGCACAAGGAAGAAGAAAATTGTTCTGAGAGTTGAGACAAAATTACTTTCTACAAGAAACAGAATAAAACTCACAGGCATGTATTGGAACTCTTAAAACAAACAGTACAGGAAGCTTTGATGTGGTGGTTATTTGCTGGGCCCTCCCAGGTGGGCGGGAGATATGAATTGGCTGTTCATAGAAACAGAAATGCAAACAGCTCTCAAACTGTGTGAAAAGATGCTTAGTCTCACCCATAAAAGAAATGCAAACCACAACTAAATTGAGGCATGACTTTCATCTATCACACTGGCAAAAATCCAAACACTTGATATCAAGGATTTGTGAGATCGTGGAGATTTGGCTTTGAAGAATTCACACTTCACTCACTTTCAACAGCAACTTTCAACTGAGATTTTTGCCTTTCAGCCCAGCAGTGCCCTAACTGGCTTATGCCTGCTAACTGTCTTATCTACAGATCACCACAAACTATCTGGTGATCTTGGAAACTACTTAAGCCCTCTGACCTTTCTCCTCTGAAAGGTGGACAATAATAGAGACTAGTGAAAAGCAGGCAGGGCATTATAATAAGTGACACATTTTACTGTCTTTGGTAATTTAATATATATGAACTTAAATACATGTGCTTGGCTCATCTGAGATCTATATAAATAAAATATAATTACAGACTTGAGTTTTACTTTTTAATCAGTAAAGACAATAGAGGCCAAAAAAGGGATATATAGCAAAGAAAAAGAATATAAAGAAATAAGGAAGCAAAAAAAGGGCCATATTAGTTGTGAAACAGAATAAATTAAACCATCTGATTAACCTATACTGCTAAAGGCATAAATTCTCATGTTCATTCTCAGGTTTAAAAACAAAATTCAAGTATACAATATGTTGCTAATAAATACTTAAAATAGTGAATATTAACTCTTTATGAGATATGTGATTTGCTAATATTATCTCTCATTCTCTGTTGCTTTTTTACTCTGTTGACAGTGTCCTTTGATGCACAAAACATTTCCATTTTATATAGTTCACCTTATCTTTTTGGGGGGAGCGGGTACTGGGAATCAACTCACAACCTTACATTTGCTAGGCAGGTACTTATGCTGCTGAGTTACATCCCTGGCCCCAGTTCACCCTATCTTGTTTATTTTTGTATTACTTATACTTCTTGTGTCACTAATTACTGCTAATCTCAACATCATGAAGTATTTCCTCAGTGTTTTTTACTTTAATATTTCATATTCATCATTATAGCTTTGTATAATAAGAAATACCTAACACAGAATAAGTATTAAAATATACATGTAAAAAAGAGAGACAAAAATATTAAAAGAAATTATAGGGAAGCAATATAGAATAAGAATGGCCTTTTTAAGTATGGCTCAAAATTCAAAAGTCATAAATGAAAATAGACTAACAAATTAAACCACAGAAAATAAAACCTTCTACATTAAAAAATCTTTAAAATACAAAGTGAAGGTCTAAAGATAAATGACACATTGGGGAAAAACACTTTAAATTCAGGTGACAGAGGGATAGATCATCTTCCTCAAATATAAAAAACTAATAGGTATAAATAAGACCAACACCAAGCAGAAAAATAACTACAGAATAAAAAACAAAAAGAAATGCAATTACATCTTAAATTTTTCTCTGTTATGAAAATATACACTCAAGACAAAAAAAAAGTGCAAATTAAAACTACACAGGGACATGATTTTTTCACCTCTCAGATAGGTAAATATCTAAAAGTTGAATATCACAGTGTTGGAAGGACCATGGGAAACAGCCACCCCTACATATTGCTGAGGGGACGGTGCATTGGAATGACCTCCAAGGAGGAGAAATTTAGCAGTAGTTACCAAATTTAAAAATGCACAGCCCTTTTGATCAAGTGATAGCACTGATGTGAATTTTTCTACATGTATTTGCCCCTGAGCAAAAAATATGTACAAAGTTATTCATTGCAGCATGGTTTGCACTCGCAAAAAATTAGTAACAACCTAAATGTCTACCAATAAATGATTGGTTAAATATAATTATAGTACATCTGTGTAATGGATACCATGCAGTCCCTAAAAAGAATGAGGAAGCTTCTAATATATTGACTTGGAAAGATTCCAAGGTACACTGGTAAGTGATAAAATGCAGTATCAGTATATACAATATACTACATTTTGTGTTTAAAATAACAGAAATGAAATACTGTATTGGCACAAAGAAATTCAAATATACACCCAGAAACTAATAAAACCATTTTCCAGTGAGAGGAAAGAGATACAGGATAAGAGGAAGAATAGAAATTGAGCAGTTGCATGATAAGATATGGAAGATAATATTTCTCTGAATTTTAACCCTTTATCTTGAATTTTTGAATCATGGAAATACACTGCTCATTTAGAATTTAAAGCAAAAGAATTAAGTGACATTGGAAGTTCACATGAAGAACCACAGGCAAAGCTAAGTTCTAAAAGCAAATGAAATAAAGTAGGGCATGATAACGGTGACAGATAATTAAAATTGTGCTAAAAGTGTTAAATGAGACAAAAGTGGGGGAAGTTTTACTGATAAAACGTATCATTCATAATGAGGAAGAATTTTCATATATTGAATAATATGGTATCAAAACTCAAATAAACTAGCCCAAAATGAATGTACTTATGCTGTATCACAAGCACATACTACTAAAAGAGGATAAAACAGAGCTGGAGGAAGAGATTCATATAAACAAAAAGGTAAGTAGGAGACGCATGTGCAAGACTTGGGAGAGCCCAGAGGGGCAGGGGCTGGAGGTGGTGGTCAAGGTGGCCAGTCGGACTGAGGGTGACCTCCATGACTGGCTCACTAGCAGAACAGCCTGTGCTGAAGACCTTGAAGACAAACATTCTAAAGCACCGTGACCACTGGAGGTGGCATCCTCACAAAGCTTCTTTTGTGAGGAACCACAAAAGAAGTCTACAAGAAGTACCTGAGTACATCAAAGATTAAATGAAACTGGGGCTGGGAGTGTAGCTCACTTTAAAAAGAAAATATTACATGAACTCAATTAAAAAATGGAAGAACAGAGACCAGAAAGAGTAAAACCTTTTATAACAGTTCTTTGTTTTGGATTTGAATTTTTTATTTTTTTTTTTTTTGTCTTTAAGACAGGGTCTTGCTATGCAGTTCAGGCTGGCCTTGGGCCCACTTTGTAGCCCAGGCTGGTCTCAAACTAGCAAACAATTCTCCTGCCTCAGTCTCCCAAGTGCTAGAATTACAGGAGTGCACCACGATGCCTGGCTTTAGTTTGAATTTTTTTTAAAAAATCACTTTAGTTATTATATATGTGGGGTACATATTGAACACATTCATTGTGGGGGTGTTGGTACAGATTCATAGACTATATTGATTCTTTTTACTTCTATTTCTCTTACCCTCCCTTCTGTTTATCCAGTTCCCAGATCCCCTTCTCATCCTTCCAAAGAACCAACTCTTTGACTCATTGATCGTTTGTATTGTCATTTAGTTTCTACTTCATTAATTTCTGCTCTGATGTTTATCATTTCTTTCCTTCTATTAGCTTCAGAGATTTTTAATGAAAAAAGAATAAAAACAATGATACAGAATTTCAAAACAAAATAATAGGAGATTAACAATGGTTAATATATTATGTATTGTTATCTTCAAAGTAGTTCAGATTAAAAGATATAGGCATAAAAATGATCAAACATGGCTGGGGATTTAGCTTAGCGGCATAAGCTCCTGCCTTGCAAGTGCGCAGTCGTGAGTTCGATCCCCAGTACCAAAAAGAAGATCAGTGAAAGCACCAATGATTCTTTGTGATGAGCTAACAGAAATTAGTGGTATAGTTACTATCTTCAATACATATACACTTTCCCCTTCTTTCTCTTCTCCTTTCCCCTAGCTCAGTTGTTCTTTCTTTTTGAGCAGCTTACTTCACTTTCACTTTTACAGTATCGTTGTACATTTTGAATCTTATTTATTCTTTCAGTTTTTCACATTAGGGAGACAATATGATATTTACACTTATGAGTCTGATTTATTTCACTTATGAGTATGGTCTCAAATTTCAGCTATTTATAAAATCCTCAACTGTATCCTTCTTTATAGCTGGATAGTACTCCATTATGGAAAACTACCATATTTTTTCTTCTTTTTATTGTAAAGAGAATGAAACAAAATGAAACAAAACAGAATAAAGCTAATCAGAACAGAGCAATGAAAGCAATACAGGATTTCAACACAGATGATAGGAAATTAACAATGATTACCCCTTTCCTTTTTAGATGTTTCTTCCCCATCACTTTTATCATATCTATTGTGCATTTTGTTTGCTCTTTTTTTTTTTAACTTTTTATCGGTACCAGGAATCGAACTCACGACCGCCTGCTTGCAAGGCAGGTGCTTATGCCACTGAGCTAAATCCCCAGGCCCTATATTGTGCATTTTGAATTCCACTAAGTCCTTCAGTTTTTTACTCTACTAGGTAACATGATGTTCACCCACATGAGTCCAAACCATTTCATCCATGAGCATGATCTCAAGTTGCATCCATTTACCTACAAGAGCCTTGCCTTTCTCTATAGCTGACTATCCTTCCATGGCATAAAAATTTTATCTCTTTCTTATCCAGTCGGAGGTTGATGGGCAAACTATCCCTGTTTTTTTCTGGTTTCCTGTCACATGGAACATTGTCTTCTCTCCTTTGACTTTCAGTCTATGAATTTTCTTTTGAGTTAAATGTTTCTTATATACAGCATATCGATGGATCTGGTTTCTTCTCCTCCTCCTCCTTCTTCTTTTTCTCCTCCTTCTCCTTCTTTTTTGTGCCAAAATCAAACTCACTACTTTGCACCTGCCAGGCAGGCGCTGATGCCACTAAATTAAATCCCCAGACCCTGGATCTTGTTTCTTGATCCACTTTACCTGTGTTTATTATTGCTGGTGAATTGAGGCCATCTACATTAATGGTTACAATAGCATGCGTTGACTCATCTCTGCCATGCTGTCCTCCTGCTGCTGGTCCCCCACTTTTCCCCTTCATTCAGTTGCCTGCCCTGTTTGGCAGTTCCACTCTGCTGCTATTCCGGGAAGCATGGTCATCTTTCTCTCTCTAGAAAACTTGTCAGTGCTCTTTGTAAGGTTGGTTTGGTGGACATAAACTCCTTTAGTTCTTTATCATGGAAGTATCTTATTTTCCCATCGATTTTGAAAGATCGTTTTGTAGGGTTCATCAATCTGGGTTGGAAGTTGTTTCCTTTCAGGATTTGAAATATTTCAAGCTCTTCTTGACTTGAGGATTTGTGTTGAAAAGTCAGTCATGGTTCTAATGGGCTTTCCACGATAGGTAATCTGTTTCTTTTCTCTAACAGCCTTTAATGTTTTTGCTGAATTTTTGGGATCTTGATTATGATATGTTTGGGTGTAGATTTATTTTGGTTTTGACTAGTTGAAGTTCTGTATCCCTCACTTATCTTTATATCAGGTCTTTTTCCCATGCTGGGAAATTTTCTCTATTACTTTTATAAATAGTCTTTTTATGTCACTTGTGTTGGCCTCTACTTTTTTGATGGCAACTACCACTCTTAAATTATTTTTCTTTGCATTGTCTTGTAGTTGTTAAATTT